AGGTGTGTGTACGGTAAAAATGCACGCGAGCTTGAAGCTGAGAAAGCCACTCAGCGACGCTCGCCACATACTGCAAAATGAACCAGAATCGGCACTGGGCAAAACAGTTGGAAAGAAAGGCTTCGATAACAGGGTTGTCACTCGCCCAGCTCATTCGCCTGATGTCAACATGAACGGTCCAGCAAAGCGACGCTGACTGAGCTCGCCAGCTTCGGCTGGAAAGAAACACAACCGATCGTACTCGTGAAGGAGGTGAAGCGCTTGGGAAAAAAGTGTGGATAGAAAATATTTGCGCTTCTGGAAAGTGCGAAGTTCAAGTACTACCCGACAACAAGTGCTGCGTCGGCTGATGACAAAGGATGCCTTCTACATTTTTCGTCTTGGAAAGTTTCTCTTGATGTTCAACGACTCCTCAACTCATTCTGAGTCGTTATAAGCCGTTCTGAGAACCTGGAATGTATCAGTAAAAACTGTAAAGATAAGCGAAAATTTTGCTTGGGCGGAGGAAGTACAGCTCAGATTGTATTCCATTATGTTACTTGAATCACGTAATTCCGGGGGGGGGGGGCTCTTTGTGGCACCCCAGGATCAGCTACTGCAGCCCATCCTTTGAGCTTCTCACCATCTTAGCAGATCTTCCAGTGTAATTTTGAGCGAATCCACCGGCTTGACCATATCAAAGATCTCATCCTGGAAAAAAAACAAAAAAGCAAAATAGCATTGCTCATGACAAGCAACGGGTTCAAGTCCTGGTGGGTCTGGCATGTTTTTCTCTTTTCAGGCAGTTCACTTCCCCGAATGATCCTTTGAAATAGGCCTTATGCACATTGTACAGATGCACGAAATCCCGTATAATCTTGTAGAATCCCGTAGACCCGGTTGGGTGTTGAATGTGCAGGACCCTATTGTGTTTACTGCTATTTTCACTATGAAATGGGCCCTGAAGGCATTTCATATGAAAACTTTTTTCTGGCAGAGATCTAGCTAGTCGTTAGTTCAATCCCAAAGTGAAGAAGCTGGAAAAGCGATTGTTTGCCATAAATTATGAGGCTAAATGGGTCAAACGCGCATGTATAGCACACAATGAACACCCAACCGGGCATGTACACACCTACGGCCCTAGTCCAGAACTTCGTACATCTGTACAACGTGCATAAGGCCTATGATCAGAGCGTTCTCGCTTATAGGTAGCAGCGCTAACCAGCCAGCGGTGAAAACAAAATTGCACGGGTTCGCGTGCAGGGCGTGTCAAGAACCACCTTTCTGCTTCCGTGGGACGCCACCACCTCGTGATCAGGCGTCAGATGCGGCTCCTAAACCGGGGAAAGCACTCATAGCAGCCTCCGGGTTTCTTACCCAGACTGCATTATACCCTTGTGGAACAGCTTACCAGCGGCCGTCCTACCTGCAGGGCTGCAACCCACACAGCTCCAGTCTTTCAAGGAAAAGTGCAACAAGTATCTGCCGCACCTGAACTGGCAAACAACCACCGATGCCCTATGAAACGTTATGGTGCAGACCAGTGCCTCACTAGCATCTTCCCTCCCTCCTCACTACATTTATCTCTCCTATTCTGCTTCTCTCACGACCAGCTACCTATTGTCCTCATTCCTCACTACTATAAAGAGTACATAAGCAAGAGTGTGCAACTCAAAGATCCCCCAGCCCACGGTGTTTCAGCGCCGTGAACCTAAGCGCCGAATTTTACAGCACCACATATTTCAGCCTCGTATACTTCAGCGCCAGCAGATCAGTGCCGAATACCTCAGCACCACATAAATCAGCGTCATATAGTTCAGCGCCAAATACTTCAGCGCGACCTTTCTCAGAGCGACAGATCTCACTGCCACAGATCTAAGCGCCATGTTTCTCAGCGCCATTTTATTATACAATGTATGTATGAACATGGTCTGTAACGACTATGACTGGACAAGTATTGACTTTGCACTCTACTGCGTCACGCTGTACTTTATCGCGCTGGACCCTACCGCGCTGAACTTCTTCGTGCTGAACTTCTTCGCCCTGTACTTCTTCGCGCTGTAAATTATTGCGCCTTACTTTTTGCTGGCGCTGTACTTTACCGCGCTGATAGTCATGGAGCTGAAGAAGCTGGCGCTGTGAAATCATGCGCTGAAGTACTGGCGCTGAAATGTATCGCGCTGAATTGGTGGTGCTGAAGTGGCAAGTCAGTGTTGAAGTCACCACAAAGGATGTGATTGCATGGAGCTGCAACTGGACAAGTAAAATTTCTGTTGATCACCGGTATACCGGCGATTCATTGCAGTTCCAAATGTTTGTTTTTTTCTCTACTACATGCTACTATGTGCTGTGTGTGCTTACAACGGATCTAGATCGAGGAAACACTGAAAAGGCGTCATAAATAGGAGAAAAAACATCGATTTCAAGTTCCATCCCAATCCCGGAACTTTCACAGGACATCCCTGGACCCCAGGACAAACACCCTATTCCCTGGACTGTCCCGGGAAATCCTGCATGGTTG